ATGTTAACTAATTGTTCATAATTATTTTTAAAATAAATATTTCCTCTATGCTCAACAAGTACCCTTTAATAGCTCATAATGATAGTGCCATATAATTATTATGTACTTATTTTACACATTCCATATTAATTATTGAAGCCAAAAAATACATATTTTTGTTGTACCGACTAAAAGCAGTTTCCTGAATATTGTGAAATAAAAATAATAATTGGTTTGAAAATTTAGTTCTTTGCTTTTAATAGATATAAAATGGTAAATGTTAAACAACATTCATGTCTAGTCTTTTTAAGTTCTATATCTCTCTCGATTAGCAATGTAAAAAAGTTATTGTATCTTATAAGTACTTTAAATTTTAAGATGTTGTTAATTCTCGTACTGTCTCTATCACTTTAAGTCAGAGTGACTGACAGTACGAGGTTAACGACGTTTTAAATTTGAGTAGCGTTTGAGTATTCATCATATATTATGGCCGTCAGTGTCTCGTTTGCAATCATTCATTAATTACAAATTTTTTAACTTAAACAATAATTTGAATATAATAATATATCTATAAATAATATATTAATTATTCTATATTCTTCTTTTATAATTAAAATCTACGCTCTGAGCAGTGAATGAAAATCTTGATGTATGAATATCTTTTATTTTTTGACTGATTTTATTTGCTTTAATTACCATTGTATAATTCAAATTTTTTATCTTTCGCTATTATCTCGCTCTTATATCATAAGAATGATTAAAGATATCATGTGAATCTTTTTATTAGTGTATTAGTTAATTTACTGTATTTATATAATTATTTAATTTGGAACTATAACATAAGTATGAAGACAATTACATTTATTTTTTGTGTTTCTACATCCGCCTAATTTATTTTAGCACATTTTTGTAATCTTTCTGATCTAACTGTTTTTAACATTCTTTATTTAGTCTTTATGTATGTATGTTTGAACAAGATGCAATTTTTTCAATTTTCAACCACTTCCGCGCATCTGAATTATCTGAAATTACCAGTACCATGATATAATGAATATGATCTAGTAACCTAGTACTCTCACTATCACACATCACAGCTCTAGCATCTATGCGTGTTGTTTTAAATATTTAAACTGTAATATACTTATTGATATTATTAAAACAGTGTTAATTTACAATATTATATTCGAAATCTTATATTTTGTTATATCAACTTATTAATTAATCCAACATTAGTTTAATGCCGCAATACATCGACAAGAGAAAATTCAGTAAGCAGTACCTACAAAACTTTGCTGTTTAAAGTATTTTTCTTTAAAAATTGTAAAATTTAGCAAAAAATATCAAATTTCTACTTTAACTAATACTTTCAAAATAATCTAGTTATTATTCTTATTTTATTTATGTACTTATATTATGTACATTTATTGCAAAAAGGACTAAACTACTCACAGAAACCATGTAAAACTATAAGATTAATTAAATAATCACATGTAAAAAGCTTAGAGGCGAAAAACAACTTGGCGAAAACGCTATATGGTTGATATGATTATTATAAATTTCAAAGACTCCAAAAGTAAGTTTACCTTTAAATAAGAAAGTCATGTGAATACACGAAGTTTTCTTCGTATTGTGTGGCTTCACGTTTTTGGCATTTAATAACTTAAGAATTTGACACAATTGTGCATCGAAATCACTACCATTCACTTAATTAATTAGCAATAGCTTGTAGTCCTAGTGTGTGATGCTGTATTTAGTGTTAGCTTACGATAGGACATTGTCTAGACTGATTCGCGCTCCAATTATCATTATTAGACACGTTAGTGTAATTACATACTAGACTTCACAAAATTATTACAAAAGTGAGAACGAAATGATGCAAAATTTTGGCCCGTTTGATAAAATTTGTATACTGAAATTCAGAGATTATATCCGTATTATAGAACTTATAACTGTTACTATTTTGATACATTTTACAATTACTTTATAAAAAAAAAGCATTTATTGAATACACAATTCAAAATGTAACCATTATATTTGTATTATTTTACGTTATACTTTTGTGTTAACTTTATAAATTTTGCTATATTTATTTTCTTCAGTTGATGTAAGTACTAAAAATGAATCAATTATTGAAATTGCAATATGGTTTCGCTTCGAACGTTCTTGTGATGCTTATTGTACATTAATGAAAGTGAGGTGTTTTATCCTAATATAGATATATCTAAATATCAAAGGAATACTTAATGTCACTACACTTGTTAACGTGCATGCGAAACGCATTTGTTACTGTATTGTTTTACCATATCTCATATAAATGTTAATTGTTTCATTTTAATGTTCATTTTTAAAAATTCTGTTCTATATAAGTTGAAAATGCGATAATGATTAGCAATTGTATTAGATTTTGTGACTGTTTCATAATCTCTTTATATTATCCTTAGTATGTACTGTTTTCTATAAATTTTTTAACTTTGCTAGAAATCCAGTCTCATATAAAACATTTAAAATTCAGAAATATTGTTTCTTTTCGCTTCTTTAACATTTACATCGCACGAAAAGTAGAAAAAATACGGTTATCTTACTAATCTGCATATCTCGTGTGCCTTTATGATGTGGACTTCTTCCATAATCAGCAGTGGAATGTGTAAAAAAAGGCACACAAACCAACCCACGCCAAATGTACTTCCCCTCCCGTATCCCTGCGCCGCCTACCGCACATGCCCTCGACGCCTCAATGCGTACACGATACGCTGATGTCATCCGAGTCAGGTCTCAGGATATTTACTGCGCGTAGTAAGGCTGATGAAGATTAAGATAAAGCTAGTCGCTGTTTTTCTTCTATAAACAAAGTTGACAAACAAGCACACAGTACACTCGATGGTAAGTGGATGCTGTGGCCCATAGAAATCCACATCTATCCTCGATTCAGAATCAAAATGCGTATGCGTTGCACCCTGAGGATTAAGATGGAACGCCTCATTTCCAGTAAAAAGGGGTCTCCGGTTCTCTACACTCATCATTATAAAACAGAATAGCATTAAGCTACTATTTTATTTTACGTTAGTATTCTGTAAGAGCGTGGACCTTCCTCAGTCGAGCCGTATTCGTACTACAACCTATAGTACATCCAACCTATAGTATAGCTGCAACATGGTTACCACGTTATAAGGAGTAATTTTAAATATATAATTTTTAAAGTAACGCCGCCCGCAGCATTGCACCTTGTCGTTCAAAGCCTAAAAAGGGAAAGGAGGGGTAGCTCTTTTTTAAAGGACATCAATTTGACACACATGCACAAATTGTATGCTCTAAATTCAGATTTAGGAAAGGATTGGCTTTTGAGTCAGATACCATTTTAAAATGCGCACTGAAATACCTTGCTAAAGTTCACACAAGTTGCAAGATCGGTCATGTACGCCAATTCTGATAAGGGTGTGAAAGGCGCCTTAAATCATATTAAACAAAACACATATCGTGGTTAATTGAGAGTACACACGGCACAGACGTCGCAACGTTTTTGTCATACTTAAATTGCTGCAAATGACACGTATTGACGTAGTCTTTTATTCCTGTTGATGTCGGTCGATTTTTGTATATTGCATCAAAGTCGTACACGCATGTGTTTTTAGTCAACTTACATAATATGTTAATTAGCTTGCAATAAGCACAGTAAATGTCAGCTCTGCACATGACGAAATCTAAAGAACAACTGACTAAACGTATATGATGTGTTACACAGCTTTAAGCCGGTTCAAGTATGCAGTTCACATAATATGCTTGGACCCGAGCTTTACAGGTATATTTTACCCTGACTAAACTGCAGCTTAATACGTGTGATGATGTATATACTACAGAAGTCTTTGAACTATACTAATAAAATAATTTTCATCATCCATCGTTCAAGAAATCGCAGGCTAAAACGAAATTCGCACGTGCCTGAACGTACCCCCAGGCACGTGCGAATTTATATTTATAATTATTTAGGGTTTGAAAATGGCTGTGAATTTAAAAATATGTGGGATGTCTACATTTCATACGCCCGTGGGGGAAGGGCTACGCCCGTGGGCGTCGTAAGAGGTGATTTTGGAGACGGTCGTCATCTATCGGAGATTATGAAGTAATTTCTACCTCATGATCTCTCCTTATAAAGTAGTATTTCTGTGCTCTAATGACACTTCTAATAAATAGCGATATACAATCTCGCATGTCAAATGTATTGGCGCCGTGGAGCAGCGTCAAAGGCGCGAATCATCTGTTACCATGATGATCAACCCGCTCGACAAGAGTAGTGAATATAGCAAATTTTGTCTACAATGGGGAAGATCAAAGTCCAGTAGTGGACTGTTACGATCCGATATTATAGTTAGTACCTACACATATTTTGAACCAGGAACTGTTTTTTTTTATAGGTTAGGATGGTAAGTGGTTGATGTCGCTCATAGACATTTACATCTATCCTCGATTACGAATCAAACTGAAGATGCGTTGTCACCCATGAGGACTAAGATGAAACGCCTCGTTTCCAGTAAAATGGTTCTCCGGTTCTCTACACTCACCATACGAAACACAGCAGCATCAAGCTGCCATTTTACCCAGGTATTCTGTGAGAGCGTGGTCCTTCCCCGGTCGAGCCGACCTATTCGTGCTACAACTATACTACTAATATAACTGCAGCATGGCTCTACCACGTATAACGTATATGCTTAATCAGCAGTAGTGCTTACAAACACGAGTCACTCTCACGAGACACTCCAGTTTCTTTGATATTGATTATGCTATACTTATCTTTTAACTAAAAAGTAAAGATCTGCGTAAAACATATTTATGTTTGTAGTAATTTCGGAAATGAAACACTTATAACATTTTTGACTTGCATCAAGTCATGTACTAATTTTATTAAAATAAATTAATCCACAGAAAGCTACAAGCTACATCCAAATACTCTGGGTAGTACTAGCTCGCTTTGGAAGCGCAATATGAATAATATTTAGTGAACAGATAGTACTTAAGATTTTTTATTTTCATTTAAATGCTTCGTTATTAATATCTTTAACCTGAAGACCGAAGTAATCAGCCACAAATTTTAAAGCCTGCTCCTTGTTCAATGTTACTGTTCCCTGGGGATTTTCAATGAATAAAGTCGCAACTTTATTTCCATTTGCAAAATTAATAAATTTACAAAAAGGACTAGCTATGTTTTCAACTTCTTTTGGTTTTATTGGTGAAACTATTATACTTTTTGCGTTTAATTTGGTAGTATCTTTAATTTCGGTGCCATCACACCAAAGTGTAAACTTAATTCCATACAGACCAAACAGGACCCTAATTTCTTTATAAAGATTATCCACAGATAAAAATTTATTATCCTTATCGGTAAGAATGATACTAGCTTGACTAGTTGTAGCACCAAAGCGAGGGGTCAAATTTTGAAGAACAACATTTGCCCAAGGGTTTGTCGGCATTTCTAGATCTTTTCTCCAGGTGATGACCAATTTTAACTCTGTGCCTTTTAGTTCTTGTACTTCTTGAATCACCACCGGCTTCGACTCTGGGAGCGCTTCAATAGGTTTTAAAGGCGCTTTTACGGTAGTTTCAATAAGTTCTCGGTGCAAATTAATAATGCGAAGAATATCTCCCGTTTTTGTAGTCGAAAAGAAGACATCGACCTCATCAGTGGGAACTAAATGTGCTTTCTTTCTAAGCTTTTGCACTCTGTTAATAATTTCCCTAGCGAAACCTTCATCAAGCATATCTTGATCTGGTGTGACATTCAATAAGATCAAAACATCGTTATCGCTGTGTGCTTCATACTGATCGTTTCCTGTAGCTTGGAATATAACCCTCACTTCAGACACGTCAATTCTTTGCCCTATTAGTTCAATATACCCATCTTCTATTAATTTTTCACACTGTTCGTTGTTAAGGTTCTTTAAAGCTTGAGTAACAGCTTTAAAATCGCCTTTTAAACGGGCTCCAAGTATTTTGTGATCTGGTTCTACTCTAAGTGTTATACCATACTTTTCTTTGTCACTCGTGAGTTGTACTTTCTTAACATTCATTTCTTCTAAAACATATGTTAGTAATGACTTAACATCATTTAAATAAGTTTCGTCACGGTGTATAACAATCATTTCTGGCAACGGATATTTTACTGGTATGGTTTTTCTATCTCTTAGAACTCTACCTAATTCAATTACCGATTGCATTCTTTGAACGGCTCTTTCAATGTTCGTATCCACCAAATTTTGTTTTGGTTCGGGTATCATGTTAAAATGTACACTCTCTAAAGAATCTCCTGGCAAAAGTTGTCGCAAGGTTTTGTACATCAATTCTGTTAGGAAAGGTGTGAAAGGTGCCATTACACGAATCATGTCAAACAAAACGCTATATAGAGTGTCTAATGCAACTTTACAATCTTTTACACCATTTTCGCCTTTTTAGCCTTCTACGATTCATTCGCACATACCAATTTGTTAGTTGATCGATAAATTTTGTTAACCTCGGAACTACAGTATATAACCGATAAGCGGCCATTTCTTTTTTTACAAATTGAATCAGTGACTGTGTAAAGGATGTAATCCATTTGTCCATGACATTCTCCCTTACTGGATTCTCGTTGAATTTATAGTCAATGTTATCTTCTTGCACAATTCTTTCCACATTTTGCATCAAGAATCTAAAAGCATTATACCAGGGCAAGAAAACATCCTTTATGACATCCCTAACACCTTCTTCTTTAAATCTCAAATTCTCAGCTTTAACTACTGGCGAATTTACTAGGTATAAACGTAGTGCATCTGCACCATATTTGCCCACAACTTCAAGAGGATCAGGATAGTTCTTTTTTCGCTTAGACATTTTTTGACCATCAGATGCCAGTATCAAACCATTAGCGATTAAGTTTTGGAACGGCGGTTTATTGAATAAAGCGGTCGACAGAACAATTAGTGTGTAAAACCAACCCCTCGTCTGGTCTATACCTTCAGCAATGAAATTGGCTGGGAATATTTCTTCGAATTCTTTCTTATTTTCAAAGGGATAATGACACTGAGCGTAAGGCATAGAACCTGATTCAAACCAACAATCAAACACTTCAGATACTCTTTTTAGTGGTGGCTGACCAGGGCGTGTAGATGGAATTTCCAAGTGATCAATACTTTCTCTGTGTAAATCAGTAACTTCTTTCCCAGTTAAAGCAGATAGTTCTGCAATGCTACCGACACAAACTACTTCTTGTTTGTCACTCGAAATCCACAAAGGAATTGGAGTACCCCAATACCTATTGCGACTTATTGCCCAGTCACGAGCTTCTTTAAGCCAATTTCCAAATCTTTTTTCTTTTACATATTCGGGCACCCAGTATGTAGCTTCACTTGATTTCAGAAGGTCTTGGCTCATTTGTTCAACTCTAACAAACCATGATGGTACTGCTTTATATATTAGAGGTGTTTCTGATCGCCAGCAAAATGGATAACTATGCTTAACTTGGCCCACCTGCACCAGCCTGTTACGCGCCTTTAAATTTGCTATAATGTTCTTATCTGCATCTTTCACATATTGTCCTACAAAGTCTTTGACAGGTTCTGTAAATCTACCGCTAGCATCAACTGGGCAAATTATATCCTGGTCTCTGGTGATAATACCAGCAGCCAAACAAACTCTAAAGTCATCTTCACCAAAATATGGTGCCTGATGTACAACACCTGTTCCTGAATCATCTGTAACATATCCATCAGTTAGCACCTGATAAGCTTTAGGGCACTTTTCGACAAAATAATCGAAAATCGGCTTGTATTTCATTCCCGCTAAACTACTTCCCGGAAACTTTTCGAGAATTTGAAAGTCCTCTACATTTTTAAAAATAACAGGAAACCTTGTTTCTTGAAGAACATATGTGTTTCCGGTTGATTTTTCTTGAACTTTCAAGTATATCAGTTTTGGATTGACACAAAGAGCTAGATTACTAGGAAGTGTCCAAGGTGTAGTAGTCCAAGCAAGTAAGGAGAAACCTTTATCAGTAGGAAAAGAGACAACTACTGCTGGATCTACAACATCCTTGTAATTTTGACCAGATTCAAAATTGGAGAGGGGTGTTGAGCAGGCTGTGGAGTATGGCATGACTTTAACTCCTTGATAGACTAAACCTTTGTTATACAATTCTTTGAACACCCACCAAATAGATTCCATAAACCATGGATAAAGAGTTTTGTAGTCATTTTTGAAATCTGCAACAAACACAAATCAATAGATAGTATTATTGCCTTTGTACATGTTCATAATATACATATTAACTAATTAAAGCGATGAATAAAAACATTTTATTTTTATTTAAATACTCGTATGTCAGACATTCATGAACTATATTTTATTATGGCTCTTTTAAAAATTTTATGGTTCACCGATCAACTTTTTAGATCAGGAAAGAGCACAGAGATCTCTTATAAAGGTTATGTATTTCAAACAAAAACTTCTCTACTAACACCCTATATCAGATTAGTTAACTTCTCTCAGTTAGAAAGCTTTAGGCTCTTAACCTTATTCTAAAATGTCATAAATCCCAACCATGCAATGAATCCTTCAAAAAGAGAACTGATAGTGTGGCCCTTACACCTCATGCATGTACAGTCTTTGCTAGTAGACAGTACACATGTCAGTGTTCTTTTATATATAATAAAATAAATTAAATACTATATATATATATATATATATATATATATATATATATATTTATATATTATAACTATTAAATTTGGGTACAATTACTTATGATGAGGTTGAAAATCCTTTAACTAGAATTGTCTGAAATCAATCACAACATTTTACATTTAGAAGTAACAGTATACTGTCTCATATTTGTTCACTAGAAATTTATTATGCAAGGCACCTAGGGTTTTTTCCAAAAAAGTGTACATAGAAAATTTCTGCTGTCCCAGACATTAACATTTATTTTTTATTATTATTGTCCTGTAAATTCTAATGATAAACCGTAATTTCTTATACAAAAAATATTTATATAATTACAATTCGATTAACTAAATCTTGCATTTAAAGAAAAACATTTAAAAACACAAAAAAATTACAGGCGAACATTTTGATTTGACTTGTCCCCTGGTCTCCTAGGCGGATTTATTTAATGAAGTAGAAATGTGTATCTTTGCCTTGGGAATGTATTTTTTTGGCTATTTATTGCAAATTTCTTCCTAAAACAGATAATATGCTCTATGCCTTTTAAAACATGTTATGGTTTTCTAATTTCTATTTTTTACTTTGTCCCTAGAAAATGGCATATAGGAAATTTCGGAGTACCGTCACGGCAATTTTTATACTCCAAACAAATAAATTTTTAGTCAATTTATAAAGTTTTGTATTGGCAACACTCACTCATAATGGCAGCAGTTCAATGTCAATACATTGAACTGCTGCCATTATGAGTGAGTGTGTTATGTGTATATGTATATTGTGTACCTACTATAAGAATATAAGTTCATTGTTCAATTTTTTAGCTTAGTTTTTATGAAATTGGCGTAGTTTTCAAGGTCATCTTTCCGGCCACCAAAACTAAGGGCTTAATTTTTACCTTCTATTGAAAAATAAAAGTTTGAGCCCAATCTCTGATTGTACTTATACAATCATAAATCAAGCTATTAAAATATATATTTTGCTGGATTTTAATAAATAGAGTGAACAAAACTAATGTGCAAAGTTGAGCTACTTTAGAGGTTTTTTCATGTACAAAAAAAATCTCTTTTTGGAAATCGTAATTTTTCTCAACATTTTACTATGAAAGATGCAAATATTTTATACGTAATTATTACTAGATAGAAAGAGGTAAAATAAAGTGCAGAAATAAAACTATAAATTGTTTGATTATTTTTCTTTTAGATCGGAAATTCAGAAATAACCGTTTTTCTTTTTTCACTTACATATAGTTCGGTCATATTATAATAGTTTCGAATAAAGGTACTTTCAAATTATAGGAAATTTATCTAGGAATCCAATGATATACAATGTGTTTGGAATTTGTGAACAATGAGACCGTAAAACTAATAAAAAAGAACATAGGTCTCACCGCGCGAAGTTATCTCAAAACGGCTGGCCTATCAAATTACGGCAACATAGCGCTTACCCGCTCATCAGTTGAGGGGATATACAACTACACCCCACGCTCACATTTATATAGTCTTTAATTAGAGGTTTATTATACTCTTTGTAATCTAACTGTCATCCTTAAGAGAATTTAGCAGGTTGTTCCCAACATGAGTATCCCCTGATTACTGACAAAATTGCCAAAATAAATGCATTATTTATTATTACAAGCTCATGCAGCAGACCTTAGTTTGTCTTTTCCAGTAGGTGGCGTAATAAGTTTCACTCCTAATTTGCACTGGAGTTTTACAAAGTAAATAAAAAATTACACTACACAGTCATTTTCTATATCATATTTTCTAATACAACTATCACTGGCATAACTTAAATACTTTTTCAAATACTCTTACAAATTACAAAACATACCTTTACCACTACTATTCTTATTCATACTATACAAAAATTGAAAGACATACCAATCCATCTTCCCATTCGGGTGATAATGGTTTCCCATTCAGTTGCATATTTCATTACAATTTTCCGGCATTCAGCATTGTACTTTTCTATACCCATTTTCTCCACATCTTCAGGTCCTTTGATTCCCAATGTTTTATCAATTTCAAACTCAACAGGCAAACCATGACAGTCCCAGCCAAATCTTCTTTCCACATGATATCCCTGATAAGCAATAACTTTGTTTGTATGATCCATAATAAAACATTTAATAAGTTAACTACGAAACAAACTGTTACCTTTTGATGGGCATATCTAGTCACTACATCTTTGATAGTGCCAGCCAATATATGTCCATAATGAGGTAATCCAGTAGCAAAAGGTGGTCCATCATAAAATGAGTACCTAAAATATACAGACTCAATAAAACATATAGGAAATAGACATGTGTCAATCATGCATGATTTGTTTGTTTGAGCTGGTACACTTAAAAGTATTGATGGTTCATTCTTTTGTTTTTGAATGTACACAGGTACAACCAATCACAAACAATTGACGGAACGTTTTTAACTTGTGATTGGTGTGAATTGTGAATGAGCCGAAAACCGACCGAATCTCGAATGATCTGAATAAACAGGTGAATCGAATCAACAATGCAGACTGGATAGTATCAGAAGTATTTATTATTTAAGGGTTTTTTATTATAATATTGTTAGAGGCCGTCCATTAATCACACGATGTTTTTTAGCATTTTTAACACCCTTTTGGTGATACGTGGTGAAGTTTATGACTCACCCACACTCAAAATCATGTATTTTTAGTACCTACCTATAAAGTATAATCTAGTTTTATTCTGAAATTAAGGACCATGATAAAAATGTTTAGATAGAAAGGTTGCAGGTTGTTTTTGACTGGCATAAAAATAATATTAAGCGAATGGTGTAATCATGCGAAAAACATATATTGTACTAGTACATGAAAACATTTTATATTGTAGGTACTAGTACATGAACTAGTACATTGTCCTCAGACCACGGATTAGCAAGACTTTCTGCAACACCAATAACTGGATAAGCAGCAAGTCAGTTGTTGGCACTGTGCTTTGCTGAAGATTAGCGTCGGTTTCATCAAGCCACTCGGCGTCATCATTTTCGCGCACTACACAGAAAATCTATCTCGATCTACCAATCGATCATTGCGTGAAGGACAAACATTGTGCAGACTATTATTGCTTGGATTAGGGTCATGCTTGTGACATGAATTTACATGTACAGGCGAGTCAAGGTCACATTATTAATTTATTTTATAGGATAGGGTTACAAACGAGCACACAGTCCACCTGATGGTAAGTGGTTGCTGCGTCTCATAGACATCTACATCTATCCTCAATTGCAAATCAAAATGCAGTTGCGTTGTCATCCATAAGGACTAAGATGGAGTGCCTAGTTTCCAGTAAGGGGTCTCCGGTTCTCCACACTCACCATACGAAACACAGCAGTATTAAGCTACTATTTTAGGCTGGTATTTTGTGAGAATCATTACACGCCGCTTTTCGGTTTAGAAATCGCGCGTTTGAAGAAAAAATAAATACACGTGATAATCTTACTACACCGCCTTGTGATATTTCGTGATTTTTGTCATACCCCTCCCCCCTTTCGAGCCTCACGTGATTAATGGACGACCCCTTACCTAAATTAAAACTTATTTTACATTTTGTTGATTTGTTACATCTATGAGTTAAATATCTTATATATAATCTTATATGTGGTAGAGCCATGCTGCAGTTATATTAGTAGTATAGTTGTAGCACGAATGGGTCAGCTCGACCGGGGAAGGGCCACACTCTCACAGAATACCAGCGTCAAATAGTAGCTTAATGCTGCTGTGTTTCGTCTGGTGAGTGTACCAGAGAGAAACGGAGACCCTTTTAACTGGAAACGAGGCATTCCATCTTAGTCCTCACGGGTGACAATGCATCTGCATTTTGATTAGTAATCGAGGATAGATGTAGATGTCTATGGGACACAGCAACCACTTACCATCAGGTGGACTGTGTGCTCGTTTGTCACCCTATCCTATAAAAAAAAAATATCATTTCATAGAGTTTACTAAAAATAAAAATTCTAAAGATTTCATGGCAAATGTTTTATTTAATATGATAATTTTCAACCACCATAAATAAGCATAAGATAAAAGTTTAATTTTGTAGTAAATAAATGTTACAATCCTTATTTTTAGACATGTAAAATAAGATAAAATTGTTTATTTTTTAGGAATGAAATTTAATAATAACAATAAACTGTAATGAAATTTATCAATAAATATATTAATTAAATTTATATAATATTGAATAAGGTTATCAATCAAAATCAAATCAAATCAATTGAATCACTTGAGGTTTTTGTGATTACGCCATCTAGCATCGATTGTACTCACCACCTTGAAAGTCAATAAGTTTTAGTTTGATAAAATAACTTTATAATTTATAGCATATAGTAGATGGCGCTATTAAAAATCACAAATGTAAAATTTTCCATTCCCAATGGATCTCACAGACACACAGAGTACTGGAGCCGAAATGATCCATTTGAATGATCAATCCGAATGTACCAGTATGTGTGACGAAATGTACTAGAATGATTCGGTCACTAGAAATTAATGATTGACACATGTCTAATAGAAAATTTTTAATGTAATTTTTTTATTACAAACAGAGATGAGTAATATCATTAGTAATATCATTTTTTATACAAACTAAGAAGTAAAAGTAATAGTGAAGTTTCTCTGAAGCCTTTCTGTACGGATACATTTTTTTTACTTTTTGAAAAGTTAAATTTTAAAAACTATTTTTTAAGAACATGAAAGAACAAAGATTTCAATTGAAAGAATATAATTTTACTTATTTTTAACTACCAACATTATAAGTGCTTTTTTATCAGGTCATTAATAAATATCTAATATTAAACTTTTGAAATGTTTTATTTCCATACTTTTATTTTGATGTTTGGACATCAATATTTTTATAATACTGTAAATGGCAAAGAAGTTCTGTTGTACTATATTCTTAATAATATATTATAAATACTTAATAGTGACATATAAACAATTAAATATTTCGGAACATCTTTGTGGAAATTTGCTGTATTTAATTTGTTAAATAGATCTTTTTGCTACTTGACATTGCATTTAGTGAAGTTTATTGATTTATTTACATTTTTGGGATTTTCAAAAAATTACATCTCAAAAACTATGGGTGTTTGTGCTTTGATATTTTGATTTAGTTATGATATACCAACCCTTTCTGCATAAAAATAAATGAACTTAATCATTATCATTACAGCCCTTCACAAGTCGACAGCTGAACATAGGCCTTCCTCAAGGAATGGCACAAAACACCTACATGTCTTTACATCTAATCGGGGGTAACCGTAAGCTTCGCTTACTGGTATGAGGCAAATATATTGTGACGTATGTTAATCCCAAATATCTATCTAAAAAGGTCAAAACTCTAGAAATTATTATGCTGAACACAATCTGTAGCATAAAATTATAAGATTTTCGTGAATAACAGCGGAATTGCAATAAAATATTACCAGACATTTAAATTTCAATAAAAGGTTAGAATATTTTACCTGGGCTTATTTTTAGATTGCTTCAAGCAATTCTGAAATGCGTCGATATTTTTCCAAAACTTTAAAATTTTGTCTTCTTCTCTCGGGAAGTCTATATTTTCAGGAATTCTAGATATTTTTAAGGTCATGATGAATTATTTTAGTGTATATTCCACGAACACCTCCACGCCATGCCAACAAATTTTGACAACTGTCATTTTTTTTGGAGTTTATGGCCTGGTATCTAGACCTTTAGGCATAGAGTAGAGTAATATACCTTTAGTGTGTTGAATTAGTGTAAGTCTCTATAATTATAGACTTCTTTTCTCGATAATTATAGACTGCCATCAAAAGTCCCTGGTTTTACCGACCGACCCTGAATTTACTAATTCACTCATAACTATGGATAGGGATCCAAATGTCGCTAAATATAATCTTATTAAAGAAAACGTGAAACAAAGAATAACCTAACAATATATATATTTTATAGAAATTGATATTGGCGTACGTATATCCTATACCTTTAAACAAAACAAAAATATATATAATCGGAATCTCGGAAACGGCTCCAACGATTTCCATAAAATTTTGTGTGCAGGGAGTTTCGGGGGCAATAAATCGATCGATAAACTGCTACAATATCGTTAGAATATGAAGGTAAATTTTGACAATTTATTAATGATTACAAATAGCTTAATTGGTATATTGGGCGGTTACAAAATCGTAGTACCATGGTTCGAGCCCAGACCGACCGACCGACTTTTTTAAATTTTTTTTTTCAAGTTCCTTTCTTTTTGAGAAAATCTATTTTTTCGAGCCCTTTTTTTAGTATTTTTTAAAAACACGAAAATTTAAATTAAACTAATTGCACTCATGATTTTTATTCAAATAACCAGTTCAGTTTTTTCTATTATGTCGCTAAGATCAAAAAATATTATTCGTATTTCATCAGTATGTAATTTGTATCTAAATATAATTTCCAAAACACACGAATTAAAAAAAAAAACCGAGCGAAAAATACCGAGCAAAGCTCGGTCAACCGGGTACTATATATATATATATGAAAACAAAATGTATCTCACAAGTAATACATATTATATTAAATTAGATTGCTTAATGCGATTGCCAAGTCAATCTATATATTCAAAACATAAAAGATTTTTAACATTGATATGGTCACTATAAATGTTGTTAGGTTAGCTAATTACATAATAACACCTTAAAACAAAAGGACCCTTAAGTAAGGACTGAATAAATTAACCGACTTGGTATTACATGGATCTCACTACTTTTTACGGTAGAACTGAGTTGCGAGACTTGGGTTTTTTTACAAGTTATGTTTTTGATGGCATCTCATTTCTTTTTGTAGATAAGATAGTCCTACTTTTTTCCTTACCGGTACCTTATACTTCTTGAATACCAACAACGTCCCTATCTACACCTATTATACATATACAAGTACACTGATTCATTCACTGCAAATGTAACTTTGTAATTCTATATATTTATATGGGATTACAAAGTTATTTATGCAGTTGGTGTATCTAGAAAACTGGACCGAAATTTAAAGATATTTTAGTTTTTCCTTGATTTATATACTAAACATTAATGGTATTCAAAATTTTAAGCTTCTATGTCTGCTAGAAGTGCCTTAGAGTTTTGATGATCGGTCAGTCAGTGAGTGACAAAATTAAGAAACTTTGACTAGCTATAATTCTTAAACTACTAGCTCCAATTGAATGAAATTTGAAATATACCATGTTTAAACAATGCCTACTCGGTTACTAAAAATTCAGGCTTCTAGTTTTATCCACTACGAAGTTATAGGGGGTCAAAAATGGCCTGAATTGCTTCGAGAAGAGAATGGTACGGCCGTGTCGCTTTATTGTTTTGCTCGACTTGGTGGGGGCACTGCCGTGCCCCCAGATATATATATATATATATATATATATATATATATATATATATATATATATATATATAATATCTAAGATTTAGAAAAGAACTTAAATTCTATCTTGACGTGAAATTTTCACATACATTTCATGATATGAACAAAATGTTTTGACATCGTCAGTCATCACCGGTTTTAGCCATTCAAATTCGCCTTCCCATTCGTTTCTGAATTTTTACTGCAGATTTTTGTCTTCAGCGGTAATTCGTTTTATAATCTTGATTAATAATGAATTTAATTAAATAACAAACAATCACTTTTAAATGGAAACAGATAAAATTTGATACACGTGAGATTAAAAAAAAACCACTGGAAATACTTATGTAAGTATTGCGCGCAACAAGACTAAAGTGTAAAGAACGAATAATAAGAATATAACTATCGAGGGAGTCAAGTTATGCAGGGGCCGGAGGACGTTTTAAAAATACTAATTTATTAATTAAAGATGTTTAATCGCTACAAAAACTCGCTTAAGAATAACTTAAAATTCTATCCTTAAAACAAAATGGATGAGAGCCCACACAGGAGCTCGGTAGTTTCCGTTTGCCCACTCAGCCGTATGCCTGTGGTCTGCAATCAGAATATTCTGCTGATGCGGATATCTTGGTGGGTCTCGCCACCCGTAACACCTTCCTCCTCAAGTTCGATTTCTCGTTTACAGGGGAACTTCGAATACAAAAATTGAACAAGTCTAAATGATACTTATGAACTAAGACACAGGTTACAATAATGATTAACAATCCATACAATAAAATGGTCCATAGACTAACACTTTTTATCACTACAGTTATCTATTCACTTTTACTATTTTTAATTTCACTTTTGCTTAATGCAACTGACAGAAATTTGAGGTCCGCAAGATCTATTCCTTCTAGGTCGCGCTGCATCGGTGCTGACATCTCAAGAGATAGATTTATCGCAGGTAGGTTAATAATAGGTAATATAAGGGGTGAAATGCTTTCAATTTCCATAGGGTTTCTTGTTAGATTAATATCATTGATTTTAGCTGCACAGTTACCGTCTAATGTTAGGATATACGTGCCATGAATCTTCTGTCTTGCTATTTCATTATTGCAGATCTCGGAAAGTAAAGTAGACTCCTTAGCATAGATAATTCATCTGTTAGGTTGTATGAGCTGCACCCTTACGGCTTCCAAAGTAACTGGAACTTGAATGCATGAGGATATACTTTCAGCATAAGTCATGAGGTCTGTGATGCAATCATCGTTAATTAGTTGGGATGTCTCGTCCTCAGGACAGAGGAAACTGTATTCATCGACTTCCTGACATGGATGAGTAAGCAGTCTAATTTTCGACCCTTTCACTAAAAGGTAGTTTGGTAATTTAGGTAAAATTACAGAGGTACGGTTATGGGATAATACAAGTAAGGGATAGAGCTTATAATAAATATAAGTGTCCTTAGTGACGAGAGGTATTTCCAAAAGATAAGTTATTCGATTTCCTTTTAAATAAGCTTTCACCATTATAGTTTGCTCTATCTTAACTAAATTTTCTAATGTAGGAGGGTATATAAGATTCTCTAATTTACTAATTTTTTCGAGTAGAATTAACAATATTTTAGACTCTATTATAGACTGATGTAAAATTCCTAATCTACTCAAAGCTAAAGTGGTTTCTATCTCGTTCAATTTGATAAGGATAGCCTGAAAGTTATGAATCAATAAGTTATATGTACTTATAATTGACTAAAGCGTTCTCTTGCGACTATATTGCTTAAGTTATATGATAATGCTATACTATCTTTATATTTGGATTAGGTTTTCATTTAATTTAAATGTAGAGTTGGTCAGAGCTTGTGCTATTTCAGTGATCAACGTCATCCTGTTGTCGTTACTATTCTGTTTAACTTTTACTTCTGTAATTAATTTATCGTATATATATCGCATCATCATTATCGAGATTTCCTGTGATTACTTTAATTAAGGAAGCTGCCCGCAGCTGCTCTTCCAATCGGCGGGCCTGTTCCTCCTGTCCACCCCGCAGCTGCTCTTCCAATCGGCGGGCCTGTTCCTCCTGTCCGCGCTTCAGCTGCTGTAGCATCACCATCAGAGCACCTAAGTCAGGTGCCACAGACGTAGGAGCTGCTGACGGGCCGGCTTCCGTGGCCGGTGGATGGCCCTCAAACATCTGCGGCGTTACACCACCAAATCGTCTCTGGTCCGTCTCCTGCTGACGTTGACTTCGGGTACGGACACCCTCCATTTCATCCTTAGGTAAAATCGGCATGATTTTATCCCACTTCTGACACCATTTGTTACGGGCTTGAGGTTCGTGACAGTAAAAACTGCCGATTGAATTACCAAAATTTACACTTTTATTTTCTTTTCACCAATTAAACCTTAAAACACTAATAATTAATCACACTGATTCACTTTATTTCGCTCCAAAGCTTCGCTTGTCTCGCCAAATTCAATACTGCCCCGACTGCGTCTTGCAGCACCTTTAAATACACATTTTCCCCGAAACGTCCAGAATATTCAAGTAAATACGCGCGCCAACCGACCAGGCGCAGAAAGTTCGAGTGTGGGGCTTCCAGAAAGCTTAAGTCTTCTGTTCGATACTAGATGGCGCTGTTGGTCGAAAGATTAGTTGTCATTTTTTGGAAAGCTCTCCTCGCTTTGTTACCCGAGATGGCACTAGTGCCAGACGTCAACTTAGGGGCGCAACAATACGAAAACATTGAGGTTTCACAGGTGGAGCTGTACGCAATACGCATGCTTACATCGGTCGATTTAAATTGTGGTCGTTGTAAATGAGGCGGTGGTCTGGGTATTCTGGTAAATAATCAGTTAATGACATAATTAAGTTTCGATCCAGGTTTTATAAGATTTTTATATATGTTTAGTGTTTTTACAATTATTACAATTTTATTCAGTAAAATTACCGTGTTAGTTTTGTGCATTTTATTAGCAATAAATGACTGAGACAGGCTTCTCTTAAACTTCCTCTCCCGAGGAGGTGCTGCCATGGGGCGGCAGGCGCTAGTAGGGCCGCGGATGTGTGCGAAAGCGTTCCCGTAGCCCTGCCAATATGCGACGAAGGTGGAACACCATGGGGTTTTAGTCGGTGCGAGTCCGACATAACCCGTCCTTGCCCCCGCGAGGCGGGTATGCGTAGGCATTTCCCCATGTAAAAAAAAGGCTTCTCTTAAACTTAGATTCGATGAAACGCGAT